TTTCCTTACTGATTATGGGTCTGTTCAAATTTTCTATATCTTCCTGTTTCAGTTTTGGTAGTGTATATGTTTCTAGGAATTTGTCCATTTCTTCCAGATTACCATTTTATTGGTATATAATGGGTCTTAATATTCTCTTATTATTGTTTTTATTTCTGTTGTGTTGGTTGTGATCGCTCCTCTTTCATTCTTGATTTTATTTATTTGGGTCCTTTCCTTTTTCTTTTTGATCAAACTGGCTAGTGGTTTATCAATTTTGTTAATTCTTTCAAAGAACCAGCTTCTGGTTTCATTGATCTGTTCTACTGGTTTCTTTTTTTTTTTGGTTTCGATAGCATTAATTTCTGCTCTAATCTTTATTATTTCCTGTCTTCTGCTGTTTTTGGGTTTTATTTGCTGTTCTTTTTCCAGCTCTTTAAGGCGTAAAGTTAGGTTGTGTATCTGAGACCTTTCTTCCTTCTTTAGGAAAGCCTGGATTGCTATATACTTTCCTCTTATGACCGCCTTTGCTATGTCCCAGAGGTTTTGGGTTGTGGTGTTATCATTTTCATTGACTTCCTTATATGTTTTAATTTCCTCTTTAACTGCTTGGTTAGCCCATTCATTCTTTAGTAGAATGTTCTTCAGTCTCCAAGAATTTGTTACCTTTCCAAATTTTTTCTTGTGGTTGATTTCGAGTTTCATAGCGTTGTGGTCTGAAAATATGCACAGTATGATCTCGATCTTTTTGTACTTACTTAGGGCTGATCTGTGTCCCAGGATATGATCTTTTCTGGAGAACGTTCCATGTGCACTGGAGAAGAATGTATATTCTGCTGCTTTAGCATGAAATGTTGTGAATATATCTGTTAAGTCCATCTAGTCCAGTGTGTCATTCAAAGCCATTGTTTCCTTGTTGATTTTTTGATTAGATGATCTGTCCATTGCTGTGAGTGGGGTGTTGAAGTCTCCTACTATTATAGTATTACTGTTGATGAGTTTCTTTATGTTTGTCATTAATTGATTTGTATATTTGGGTTCTCCCACATTTGGCGCATAAATGTTTACAATTGTTAGGTCTTCTTGGTCTATGGATCCCTTGATTATGATATAATGCCCTTCTGCATCCCTTGATACAGTCATTATTTTTAAAGTCTAGATTGTCTGATAAAAGTATGGCTACTCTGGTTTTCTTTTGTTGACGATTCGCATGATAGATGGTTCTCCATCCCCTTATTTTCAATCTGAAGGTGTCTTTATGTCTAAAGTGGGTCTCTTGGAAACAGTGTATAAATGGATCTTGTTGTCTTATCCATTCTGTTACCCTATGTCTTTTCATTGGAGCATTGAGTCCATTGACGTTTAGAGTGAGTACTGAAAGATATGAATTTATTGCCATTATGATGCTTGTGAAGTTGGAGTTTCTGGTGATGTTCTCCGGTCCTTTCTAATCTTTTGTTGCTTTTGGTATATATATATATTTTCATCTCTTCTCCCCTCAGAAAGTCCCCCTTAAAATTTCTTGCAGGGCTGGTTTAGTGGTCACAAACTCCTTTAATTTTTGTTTGTCTGGGAAACCTTTCATCTTTCCTTCTATTTTGAATGACAGCCTTGCTGGATAAAGAATTCTTGGCTGCATATTTTTCTGATTGAACACACTGAATATATCCCGCCACTCCCTTCTGGCCTGCCAAGTTTCTGTGGATAGGTCTGCTGCAAACCTGATCTGTCTTCCCTTGTAGGTTAGGGACTTTTTTTCCCTTGCTGCTTTCATGATTCTCTCCTTGCCTGAGTATTTTGTGAATTTGAGTATGATATGCCTTGTTGATGGTCGGTTTTTGTTGAACCTAATGTGGGTCCTCTGTGCTTCCTGGATTTTGATATCTGTGTCTTTCCCCAGGTTAGGAAAGTTTTCTGCTATCATTTGCTCACATAACCCCTCTATCCCTGTTTCTCTCTCTTCCTCTTCTGGGACCCCTATGATTCTGATGTTGTCCCTTTTTAATGAGTCACTGATTTCTGTAATTCTTAAATCGTGCTCTTTTGCCTTAATCTCCCTCTGTTTTTCTGCTTCATTATTCTCTATAAGTTTGTCCTCTGTATCGCTGATTCTCTGTTCTGCCTCGTCCATCCTTGCTGCTGCTGCATCCGTCCGTGATTGCAGCTCAGTTATAGCGTTTTAAATTTCATTTTGGCTATTTTTTACTTCTTGTATCTCTGCAGAAAGGGATTCTAATGTATTTTTGACTCCTGCTAGTATTCTTATTATCATGATTCTAGATTCGGATTCAGACATCTTGCTTGTATCTGTGTTGGTTAAATCCCTGGCTGTCGTTTCTTCGTGCTCTTTTTTGGGGGGTGAATTCCTTTGTTTTGTCATTTTGAAGGGAGAAAAGGAATTAATGAGGTAGAAAAATTGAAATAAAAAAATTAAAATTAAATAAATATTGAAATTAAAAATTAAAAACACACACACGCAAAAATCGAATAGAGATGCTAGATCCTAGGTGTGTTTTCGTTGGGGTTTAAAAGTGGTTTGACAGATTAGAGAAAAAAAGAGGGGGAAGGAAATTGTTTGAGAATTTGAAAAATATAAATACACTGAAGTAGACTAAAATGAGATGATGGGGGTAAAGTAGAATTTGAAAAAATATACACAAAAGTAAAGAATGTAGTAGAAAAAAATTAACGAAAAATATTTTTAATAAAAATTAAAAATAATTATGAATTTTTTCATTTTCTGTATTTAAGAAAAAAGAAAAGAAATGAAAAAGAGAAAAAAAGATAAAAAAAGAAAAGAAAAAAAGTCGTTTGAAAATTTGAAAAAGTGAATACACTGTAGTAGGCCAAAATAAAGTGATGGAAGTAAAATAGAATTTGAAAAAACTTACCTAACAGCAAAAAATATAGTAATAAAAATTAAATAAAAATATTTTTAATAGAAATTGAAAGTAAAAATGAAGTTTTTCTCTTTCTGTATTCAAGAAAAAGAAAAGAATTGTAAAAGAGAAAAAGGAAAAAAAAAAGAAAGAAAATTGAATAGATGAACCTGCTCACAGATTGAAGTAGGACTAAAATTGCTTCATTTGCCCCTAGAAGCCAATGTAGCTCTTTATAGTCCATAAATTAAGTAGGCAGTGAGACTTGTGTTCTTGAAGAGTGCTGTTGGCCCAGTTGAGTGGGGCTTAGTGTAACAGCTCCGCTCTCCACTAGATGGCGCTGCTAGCCTACTGGGGTGGATGGTTGCGAGGCTGGTAGGTGCATATGTGCATGCGCGGGAGCAGTGAAAATGGCGCCACCAGCTACCCAGTCTGTTCTCCCGGATCAGCAATTGCACACCCGTCCTCCGTCTTCAGCTCTCGTCCACTCCCCAGTTCTTCACTCTCTGTGACCAGGCCCCAGGTGGCATCTCTCTCCCAAGCCTTGTCCCTGGCCCCCTACTTCTGAGGGATTGAGGCTTTGACTCGTTCCGCCCCGCTGCAGGAGGGTCTCACCGAGCAATGGCGGAATGAGCAGTGGCCGAATATCGGCTGTACACAGGTACACCCACTGGACCCTGTTGTTGCCAGTGCCCCGAGACTGCGGCCAGGTGCCAGCCCATCCCAGAAGATGTTCGCGAGACTGTGTATCAGCAGCATCTCAGGGATTAATGGAAAATCACAACACACATCTGGCACCAGGATTCACCCTTAACACCTTGCCCCAGCACCAGTGAATGTGGCCACCTTCTGGGGTCTTCTGGGACCAGGTGGCTTCAACAGTCTCTACCAAATGTCCTTCCAGCAGTGGAACTGCTTTTCCCCGTGTGGCCTGAGAACCTCCCGGACCCCACTCTGTTCCTGGGGATTCGCCCTTCCCACCAGAGCACTGCCATGTATGGAGCTGCGGAGTTGCAGCCTTTGCGCTCCCCTTGTTACAGTCTTAATGGAATTTAAACCCTCTCCTTTCTCCTTTCTCCCTTTTTAGTTTAGTCCCTGCGGCTGTTTCCAGTTTTCCACTTTCTCTCCAGCTGCTTTTGGGGAAGGGTGATTTTCCCATATTCTCCCCCCCTCCCCTGTCTCCGTCCTCTCTCTGCCCACAAAAGCAGTTCCCTACCTTTCAGGTTTTCTTGCTCCCCAAGTTCAGCTCTCCACGCCGCGTACCTGCTGAATTCTGTGGTTCAGGTTGTGCAGATTGCTGTGTTAATCCTCCAATCAGTTTTCTAGGTGTGTAGGATGGTTCAGTGTTGATCTGGTTGTATTTCATGGATGCGAGACACACAGAAAGCTTCCATGCTGTCCTGCCATCTTGGCTCCTCCTGAGCATTCTTTTACAAGGGTTTTTTTTTTTTTTTTTTTTGGACATATATTCCCTTCTCTTAAATAAATACTTAGGAGTGGAATTTGTTCATAGGCTCTATGCATGTTTACTTTTTAAAGAAATTTCCAAAGTGTTCTCCAAAGTGGTTGTGCCATTTTAACACAAAGCACTCTTAGGCTTTTCTTGTGTTGAAACAGAAATTGTGAGCACAGAGAGGCATCCAGTCTGGTTACTTTTATGCTATTAGAACTCAAGAGGATATTTTCTATACTGTTTAGAGAAACAAAAAAATTAAGCAAGTAGAATTTCAACAAGAAATGGATGTTATTATTTATACATGTTATTCTTTCCCTTTGCAAATACACACACACACACACACACACACACACACACACACACACGATCTCTGAAAAGTTGCAGAGACCCTGCCAGTTTAAGAACAAGAGTCAATAATAGTCTTTTGCTCACTTCTGCTTCCAATGAGAAGGAAAAACCAGGGGGCTCAGAACCTGTAAAGGGAGTTTGTTCTTGAGTCTCCTTAAATATGGAAAGAATGGAGAACAAAGGCAGTAAGTACTGAACTGAATTTGAGGAGAGGGAGAACTCTGTGGTATTTCTTTGTTCAGTGCTTATATGTGTGTGTTCACGTTGCATCTATTTCTTTCCTGTAGTCTTTTCAAGTATTGAGCGTTACATCTTAAATTTTCCACTTTGTCTTTTAGGCCAAAGAAGCCCTAGAAAATACTGAAGTTCCCGTTGGCTGTCTCATGGTCTACAACAATGAAGTTGTGGGGAAGGGACGAAATGAAGTTAATCAAACCAAAAACGTATGTCAATTGAATAGTATAATTGCAAACATCCAGGTAAAGGTAGGAGTGCCCTGAACTTCATCATAGTTGGTGAGAAGATGGGTCTGTGTAGAGACTTGTAGGTATCAATGGAAGGGTAGTTTCTCTTAACATTTCTTTTTTTGAATGCCTTTTTTTCTGATTATGAAAGTAATACATGTTGGTTTTTTAAAATTTGGAAAATTCAGAAAAACTTAATGGAGCAGTAGAATCTTTGCAGTTAATTTTCTATGTCATGGAGTTTTACTTTAACACCTGAGTGAAACTCAAGAGGGGGTTTTATTACATTGGAGCTTCAATACTAAAGAAATGACTCTAATCTCCATCTTAAGCAAATCTAATATATAGAAATTCCACTTTACAAAACATATCAATTTAACTTGTATCACATTTTTTAGTACCTTGAAATAATGTATTCCTCCTGGTAAATTAAACAATCACCTTCAGTTTATATCTTTGGAGGTATAAAAGGACTGTATAAAGGAAACTGTGTATTAGAGAATTCATGGGATAAAGTCTACCACCTGCTGTCTCTAAACCTACATGTACACTTTAATAGCTTGTGTGCCTTTATATTATTGTGCTTAGGTTGAGGAGTTCATGAATTGAGGCAATACTTCTTGATATCACAACAGTGTGTCATAATTTTATGATTAAAACAAAATAATTTTTAAATGTTTTTATTTATTTTTGAGACAGAGAGAGACAGAGCATGAGCAGGGGAGGGGCAGAGAGAGAGGGAGACACAGAATCTGAAGCAAGCTCCAGGCTCTGAGCTGTCAGCACAGAGCCCGATGCAGGGCTCGAACTCACGGACTGTGAGATCATGACCTGAGCTGAAGTTGGACGCTTAACCGACTGAGCCACCCAGGTGCCCCGTCATAATTTTATGACAAGAAGTACTAGCTGGACTCATGGACAGGTTATAACCATAACATCACTCACACAGACTTTGATTTTATTATTTGATCTTGGGAGTTAGAGAACAAGCTGATGTTGGTAATGGTGCTGTAGGAAATTTAAAGTTTATCCATCATATCTATAAAAAAATAAAATAAAATAAAAAAGAGCACATGCAAACTAGGAACCCAGATTCATCAAAGCAATTATTATGTGGCTATCAAAACATTTGTGAGAGAAGTAATAAGCATAATGTAGCAATTAGTGAATATACAGATACTTGTCTAGGAGTAGAATTCTGTATTTTAAATGATTGTCCTATCTCCCTAATTACATTTTGTGGTTCAGTATGGTATCTTTACATGAGAACTTTGAATGCCGTAACATCATCCATCTATCCCTCCGATGACCTGGGTTTCTTCTGTATCTTGAAATTAGCCTGCATTTATCTTGGTATTCGGTGTCCTATAGAAGATTACCCTATAAAGCAGCATAGAAAAACTCTTAACCCCCAATGAGGAGACCCGAGTCCTACTTTTGGCTCTGATACTACCACCACGCCTTTCACTGCCATCACCTCTTCCAGCGGTGTGTTTTCTACTTGTCCTGACTTAGCTTCTGGCTCTGCACACTAACAGAGAGGTTGATTGCAGTGATTCAGTGTAACGGTTGCTTACAGAGAATTCTGGGGAGACTTGATTCAGTAATTCTGAATTTGATTAAAAAAAAATTTTTTTTAATGTTTATTTATTTTTGACAGAGAGAGAGAGAGAGAGAGAGACAGAGCATGAGTTGGGGAGGGGCAGAGAGAGAGGGAGACACAGAATCCGAAGCAGGCTCCAGGCTCTGAGCTGTCAGCACAGAGCCCGATGCGGGGCTCGAACTCACAAACCGTGAGATCATGACCTGAGCCGAAGTCGGGCGCTCAACCAATTGAGCCACCCAGGCACCCCTGAATTTGATTTTTGAAAAAGCACTGGAGTTGGGGAAACTTTTTAAGCTCCCCAGTTAGGTCTGGTATGCAGGCAGGTTTGGGAACCAGTTCTCTAAGATACCTTACGCTCTGAGTTCATAATTCTGGACCAGCATAGCTTCCACCTGCCTCCAGCTTCCACGGCACCTTGGGCCACTGTGCCACCATTTTCCACACCCTACTCTGTGTCACAGGTTAGCAACTGTTTGCCTCACCAGATTTTATACTTGTTGAGGACAGACTCTTTAACCTCACATAGGATTTAGTACAATGACTTGTTCTTAGCAATCAGCGTAAGTTTATTGACAAGTGTGATCATCTTGAATGTTATTAATAATTACTGCATAGCAGAGTACATATATAGCGTGCAACATCTGCTTCATGTAATTCAGTGTTTTATGAGGTTTACATGCCAGCATACGTTGTTTTACACATGGTGGACCCAAGGCTTAGAGAAGTTATGTAACTTGCCCAAGGCCACATAATGAGTGAGGCCACAGTCAGGATTCAGAGTTAAGTATGGGTATTTCCAAATGCTGTGTGATTTCCCCTGCATTCTCCTACCACCCATGAGGTATCCAAGACTCATACCAAATCTCTGGTTTTCTCTAGAGTCTGCCAGAATATTAAATCTCATTCCAAAGAAAATAGAAGTGATGACATTCCAGTAAACTAAATATGGATTCGCTTAGAGTTAGGTGAGGGATGGCCTTGAAAATATCTGAAATTGGAGCACGTGCTTGTGAAGACTTCAGGCTTCCCCTGGAGTATTCATAAACCCTGGACTCTTTTTTTGTTTTGTTTTGTTTTGAGACTTCTATTCTCCGCGGCATTTAATTGAAACAGCGTCCCCTGAAGTTCTTAGGTACTTAAATAAAAATAGAGCATAAATCACATGGCATCTCAGATTCGCTGTCTTGCATTGGTGAAGCTATGGTACTTGAATCGGGGAATACATTGTCAACTGCTAAGAGTGTCCCTGAAACCCTTACTCATTAAAACATTGGCAGAAACATTAGGCCCGTGTTGGGTACTTATTTTTGAGTGTTTGTAAAACACAGTTACGTGTTGATGCAAGCACCTCTCTTTTTCCAGGCTACTCGACATGCAGAAATGGTGGCCATCGATCAGGCCCTGGACTGGTGCCACCAAAGTGGCAAGAGTCCTTCTGAAGTATTTGAACACACCGTGCTGTATGTCACTGTGGAGCCGTGTATTATGTGTGCAGCTGCTCTCCGCCTGATGAGTATCCTTTGACTTTGTGAGTTCCTGTCTTGGGCCCTTCCTATAAACTTGAAAATGGCCGGACACATAACCTGCTTTGTAATATGTGAAAGCAGACTTATGAAACAAGTTATAAAATATTGTGCCCCTTGGCCAAAAAATATTTAGGAAAGATTTTTAAATAACAAAATTACTTCATTTTATGTCAGTAGACGTAAAACTGTTAACCAAATGAACTAGAGAAAGACACTAAGAGCTAACAAACTGCTGTGGGAGGATAAATCACAAATTAAAGTAGATTATAAAACTGTGTGCAGAGAAAGATCTGAAGAATATGCACCTTTGGATAATAGATTATAGGTGATTTAAATTTTTTCTTTCTGTTTATATGTTTTTGTTTATTTTTGCCATGAGTACCTGTTACAATGTATGAAACGTATTAAGTCAGAGTAAATACCAGGTAAAAAAACACATCACTTATGATACTGTAATTATAAATAAATGGGGAATGAAAAACTCTTTGAATTGTGTCTTTCATAGTAAGCAACACAAATACTGAGTGTAGCAAGTTTGTCTCTAAGATCTTTAAAAAATTATTTGCTAGTTCAAAAACTTAATTTCATACATGCACATTTTTATGTACTTATTTTGCTATGTATGAGTGAAAAAATTCATCACTTTAAAAATAACAGGGGCACCTGGGTGGCGCAGTCGGTTGGGCGGCCGACTTCAGCCAGGTCACGATCTCGCGGTCCGTGAGTTCGAGCCCCGCGTCGGGCTCTGGGCCGATGGCTCAGAGCCTGGAGCCTGTTTCCGATTCTGTGTCTCCCTCTCTCTCTGCCCCTCCCCCGTTCATGCTCTGTCTCTCTCTGTCCCAAAAATAAATAAACGTTGAAAAAAAAAAATTAAAAAAAAAAAAAATAAAAATAACAGAGGGTTTTGAGTATGATAACATGTATGTACAGTCTTTACTTTGTAAAAGGGGAGTTAGAGTCCCCTTACTTAGCCCCCACTTACTAGAGTCCCCTTACTTAGCCCCTCCCCAACCTGACTTATGGCGTGGCTCAGCCTTAGTCTGTTTTATATTGGGGCACATGTTGCATTTTATTTGGGGAAAGAATAGGGAACAATCCCATTTTTATGTATTTATTTATTTTTATTATTATTTAAAAAAATTAACATTTATTAATTTTTGAGAGACAGAGAGAGCAGAGCATGAGTGGGGGAGGGGCAGAGAGAGAGGGAGACACAGAATCCGAAGCAGGCTCCAGGCTCCGAGCTGTCAGCACAGAGCCTGATGTGGGGCCGGAACTCATGGACTGTGAGATCATGACCTGAGCCGAAGTCGGATGCTCAACTGACTGAGCCACCCAGGTGCCACCAACAATCCTATTTTTAAAAGGTGCAAATCCCTGGATTAAATTCCTACTTCCTTTCTGGCTCCAGTTCCCTAATGGATTCACAGAAAGTAGGTTAGGAAAGACTAGAGAGAATACCAAACTGTGAATATTTAGTAACCATGTATTCGGTTTTTATTATTTGCAGTTGTGAGATGTTAGTTCCTAAATCCTTTAGACCTCCTTCTTTTGTGTAACTGGATTGTCTGATTTTTAAGACTAAGCCTACGCTTAACTTTTTTTTTTTTCAACGTTTATTTATTTTTGGGACAGAGAGAGACAGAGCATGAACGGGGGAGGGGCAGAGAGAGAGGGAGACACAGAATTGGAAACAGGCTCCAGGCTCTGAGCCATCAGCCCAGAGCCTGACGCGGGGCTCGAACTCACGGACCGCGAGATCGTGACCTGGCCGAAGTCGGACGCTTATCCGACTGCGCCACCCAGGCGCCCCTTAACTTTTTAAAAGTAGCCTGAACTTCCCTCTCCCGGCTGGCTGGTATAAACCTACCCTGGTCTTGTCACTGTACACACCTGAACTGCACATTGGCTTCGGGACCTTAATTCTTTCCCATAAATTCCACTGGTGGTATATGGCTGTCAGAACGAACGATTTGGTGGTTGTGGCTCTGTTCTAAATATTGCCTCTGCTGATTTACCAAATACTGGGAGACCATTTCAGGTAATATGACCTGCTAATGTTTCCTCTTTCTTTCTCATTCCTTTGATTTCTGTATGGGCTCAGGAATTGTTCAAGTGTGGTCAGTATACCAAAGAGTCATGCTAGGACCAGGCAGACTCTGGGACCACTAGTCAAGTTCATTTATGCCTCAGTATAAGATGACAGGTAATCATTTCCAGGTAAGTGCTTGGCTCTCTTAATTAACAGAACCTTTCCAGAAGGAAAGTCCCCAACCTTCCAGGGTGTCTCTCCTGACAGTCTTTACCAACACCTTCAGGGATGTTTGGAGACGTGGTCACAGTTGGCATTTTCACTCAGTGCGTGTCCCCAGCTCTGTGCTGTACTGAGTTTAGGAGAAGCTTGGACTCTGTCAGTAACAGTACTGCTATTTACAGTGCACACACAATATTTTTGCACTTAGCCAATCATTTTGCTTTATCACTATGTACCATTTTTGGTGTGTAGCAATTAATACCTGTGTTTTCATTATTTGTTCCCCCTGCCTTTTCAGTACTGAAATTTCCCCCAGGCCCTAGGGTCCACATTGTTTTTGTTTTCCCTTAAAAATTCTACTTTCCCTTTAATCTTGCCACCTCTCCCCAAGTGTTTATGTTTAAGGCTATGAGCAGTGGGAATTTGTATTTCCGAGTTTGGCCTGTAGATACATATCGTTTTTCATAAACCGGTGTGATGTTTTTTTTTTTCTCCAAAGTTAATCCTGAAGTATTATGTTTTAAAATGAAAAGTATTTAACAAAGGCTTGACATGGTGGGCAGTTAACTTCAAAGACCTCAGATATTCTTACAAGACCTCAGATATTCTTAGGAGAATACCAAGTACCTATGAAGGGCTAAATTTGGCTGAATCCCACTGAGAACAAGTTTTGGAAAACATTCTATTTTGAGTTTTTCCAGCTGAACATTAGCTTTCCTAACGACTTCTGTGTATTTGAGAATAGATAACTTTTAACATCACATCGGAAAAGAAATTATAATTGAACAACAGAGAATAAATAATACTATCAGCTTGACCATTAAAAAAATCTTCAGGGTGCCTGGGTGGCTCAGTTTCGGCTCAGGTCATGACCTCACGGCCCGTGAGTTCAAGCCCCACATGGGGTGAGCTCGAGTCCCACTTCGGGGGAGCTCGTGCCCTGCTTTGGGGGAGCACAGGCCCCACTTTGGATGAGCATGAGCACAGCTTCTCTCTCTCTCTCTCTCTCTCTGCCCTCCCTCGCTCACTTGCATCCTCTCTCTCTCTCTGTCTCTCAAATAAATAAAATAAAAAATAATGTGCAAAGTGATTTCATTTTTCCCAATCGCTTCTGTTAGTAGCTCAGGTTTTATTTACATAACTCTTTGCAAGTAAATTGCTGACCCTGTACTTCACTTATGAAAAAGATCTAAAGAATTTCTCAAAGCTCCTGGGCAGAACAAGGATGAGCCCTTGGATATCAGACATAGGTAGAAAATTTCTCTCCAACACGTCAGTGACGCTGAGTGCCCAAACAGTCCTCTCTTATACGTCTCTGCACAGAGTTGATCTCTCTGAACCAAAGAATAAGATCATAGTGTGTGTACTTGGACTAATTGGTCCCAGTGAAAGGAGTGACCAGTATTTGAAGCCGTATCTCCAGGTCTGATGCCAAATTATGTTGTTTTTGTTTTTAAGTGTTTGAAATTCTAAGGAAACATTGACACCCTAGGCTTCTGGATCCTGTGTTTTCTTCCTTTATTTGGTTGGTTCAGGTAGGGGGGCGGGTGTGGGAGGTGGGATACTGTTTTTGTATTGCAGAATCATTGATCCTTTAATGCTATATTATAAGCTGAATTAAGCTCATAGAGGAGACCTGCAGAACTATTCTTTTCAGAGAAGATAGTGATTGTTTATGATACGTACCTGCTCCATTTTTAAAAGTTTATTTTAATAAGAATGTGTGCTTTTTATTAAAGTCACAATTTATTGCTATAATGAATAGTTGAAAATATTGTCTTGGTATCTTAGAGTGATGCAATTTCCTTCTCCATCTGTAACTCAGTGAGTCTCATCCCAGACTGCATATTGTAGAGCTTTTTAAGTGTGCCTGTGGGAGGTCCCTGCCCCAGACCAACTGTATAAGGTGAGAGGGTGGAGGAGGTGGAATATTAGTATTTTCTTCAGAGAGTTCCCAGTCGATTCCACTGAGCAGCCAAGGTGGAGGACCACTGCTTTGACCTCACAGGAGGGGAGAGTGCTTTGTGCTTGTTTGGTGCTCATGAGAACATGAGGAGAGGTGGGAGCTCTGAGGAGCACAAAAAGTGTAGCGTGAAGAGAATGGGACTGACCCACCATGGTTAGAATGGTCTGAGAAGGTTGTGAGAACAGAGAAGCCAAAGGAGGAGAGAGCTCTAAAAAGAAGCGAGAATGGTCAGTAGTCTCCACCACTGCAGAGAGTTGAGGACAATGGAAAGGAAACCAGTGTTTTGGTCAGTAGGGGCCCTTGGGAGATCTGGGAGCACAAGCCAGCATGGATGAGATTGAAGAGGAAACGAGAACCACACAAGTGATGGCCAGGAGTCTGTGGGAGCAGCAGGGTAGTAGCAGGGTAGTAGCTTGCTTGAGGGGCAGGGTCAAAGGAAGGTTATTGGGATATTTTTCCCCCCAGCTTTACTGAGATGTAATCGACATATAACATTGTGTGAAGTTTAAGGTGTACAGTGAGATGATTTGTTAGACGTATAGATTGTGAAATGTTTACCACAATAAAGTTAGTTAACACACCATTCACCTCACATAATTACCATTTTGTTGTTATGGTCAGAACATTTAAGCTCTATTCTCTTCACAGCTTTTAAGTACACAATACAGTGTTGTTAACTATAGTCACTGTGCTGTTCCTTAGATCCTCACCTTATAGAACTTACCTTATAGTTGAAAGTTTGTACCCTTTGCACTGTCTCTTCATTCTCCACAACCCCCACCCCTCCACCCCTGGCAACTACCATTCTACTCTTTGCTTCTATAATTAGAATGTTCTCTTTCTCTCTCTCTCTGTATATATATGTGTGTGTGTGTGTGTGTGTGTGTGTGTGTGTGTGTGTGTGTGTGTATACACGCACATATATAATATATAATAAATATATAATATGTATATTTTAATACATATGCAATAGAATATTATTCAGCCATAAAAAAGAAGGAAATCCTGCCATTTAGGACAACATGAATGGACCTTGAGGGCATTATGCCAAGTGAAAGAAATCAAACAGAGAAAGACAAATACTATATGATCTTTTTTTTTTTTTAAGTTTATTTATTTTGAGAGAGAGAGGGTGTGTGTGTACAAGTAGGAGGGGCAGAGAGAGAGGGAGAGAGGGAATCCCACACAGGCTCTATATTGTCTGCACAGAGCCCAACGAGGGGCTTGAATTCACAAACCATGAGATCATGACCTGAGACAAAGTCAAGAGTTGGACGCTTAACCCAGGTACCCCTGATGATCCTTCTTATATGTGCAATCTAAAAACATTAAACTCGTAAAGGTCTTCTTCTGATGGGGAAGGTTTATTCAGGCTTCATAGGTCCAGGTAAGAGCTGACTGAAGGCAGAAGGGAAAAGGAGGTTCATTCTGAGCAGCAGACCATGCTCGCCAGGCCCTTGTGCTGGCACTCACTAGCTGCTTCCCCTCCAGTAGCTGCTTCTGGGTATGCCTCCATGGAGTCTCTGTTCATTTTTTCATTTCGTGCATCTTAGAAGGATGCAGCATATCGAGTTCAAACTCGTGTAACACACCTTCAAAGCCCTGTATATTTTGACCTCCTTTTCTCTCTTGAATTTCTTTACCTATAGGCCCCCTACCCCCCATTAGTTGGATTCCTCCCACAACCCAAGCTCATTATTACTCTTTCCCTGAAATGCTGTGTTCAGCCTCTTTAAATAATTGCTGTCTTTAAGGCAAGTTCAAGGTTCATCCTCATGTAGTGTTTTATACATAATTTCACTCCTTACCATTATCGTAATTTCTTACTCTTTCACTTAATCGATCTTTTCTCTCTAGTTAGATACCAAAGATAGATCCAATTAAATCCTTTCGAAAACATCCACTACAGTAAAGATCAACACTTTTTTTTCTGTAAAGAGCCTAATAGTAAATATGTTAGCCTTTGTGAGCCACTCACGTCTGTGTCACATCGCCGCCGCCTCCTCCTCCTCCTCCTCCTCCTTCTTCTTCTTCTTTTTTAAATTTTTTACAACCCTTTAAAAATATAAAAATCATACTTAGTTGATCATTTTTAGCTGCGGACTACCAACTATAGCTCTATAGCATCAAACGCTTAATGGGCAACAGTGAATAAGGGTCGAAAAACATAGCAGATGCTTAACAAATTCTTATGATGTGTCAGGTATTTAACAGGTGTTATTTTATGTAATCTTATTTACTCTTCCTGAAACCCTTCTGAGGTAAGTGCTGTAATTACCTACACTGTACGCATGAGGCAGCTGAGGCACAGTACCCAAGATCACATAGCTGGTAACTTCAATAGTAGTTGATTGAGAAATAATAGTTGACTGGAGCGCGGTTTGAGTCTGTACTTGATTCTCTTGGAAATGTACTTCCTTACCTGCATCACTGCTGTCCCCCAATTGCTGTTTGTATGGGATACAGGCCACAGTTTCATTGGGCGATATTCATCCTCAATCTTCTAATTTCAACAGTGCATTCCTGGATATCGGGCCGAGGAAGCAGTGGAAATGTTGAAGACCTTCTACAAACAGGAAAATCCAAATGGTCAGTTTTCCCTTTGCTGTACATGATGTAACCTCACTTAAGACAAAGCTGTGTGAACAGAGTCTGACATGGGCCCTCCTCTTCATTTTCTCTCTCTCTTTTTTTTTTTTTTTGCTATTCTTTTCACAGCACCAAAATCAAAAGTTCGGAAAAAGGAATGTCCGAAACCTTGAACTTGTTCTGAGGGAAGGCTGATTGATGCCCCTTGACGACATTCTTGGACTGAAAGTTGTTGACATGATTGAATCATACGTTCATATGTGCCCTCAACCCGTGGGAAAATTATCTCCCATTATTTGCTGTGTTCAGGGAACAAATTAGCACTTTTTAAAAGTCTGACAGTTGTTGACAATGGTTAGCTTTTCCATAAGCTTAAAGAACATTGTAAGAAGGGGATAAAAATAAAGATTGAAATTTTAGAAATTAGTAAGCAGTGCATGCTCTTCCTGCCAAAATCATTGTGCCTGGGCCAGGAAAGTCCTGAGTTTCAGTGAATGTGTATCCAGACCCAGTTACCTGGCATGTGTCCGGACTGGAGTGTGCCACACTGTGGACACCTGCTTTCGGCCTGGCTTTTCAGAATCGGGTCCTTCATTCTTTGCAGCTACTGTGTCCTCCCAGGGTGTTGAGGGCCCGTGACTTTCTTTTTTTTTTTTTTTTTTTCAACGTTTATTTATTTTTGGGACAGAGAGAGACAGAGCATGAACGGGGGAGGGGCAGAGAGAGAGGGAGACACAGAACCGGAAGCAGGCTCCAGGCTCTGAGCCATCAGCCCAGAGCCCGACGCGGGGCTCGAACTCATGGACCGCGAGATCGTGACCTGGCTGAAGTCGGACGCTCAACCGACTGCGCCACCCAGGCGCCCCTAGGGCCCGTGACTTTCTACACTTGATCTTAGCCAAAAGGCCAAGAAGCGATGAGGGCCTGTGACTTTCTTGGAATTTGTCTATGAGTTGTATACATATAGATTATGATTGTGTGTGCCTCAGAACTGATTTCTTTTTGCTTTTATAAAGCAGTTCGAGAAAATGCATACTTTTAAAAACAAGTACGTGTCATTTTTAAATTATAGCATATTGCTATAATTTAAAAACAAGTACGTGTCATTTTTAAATTATAGCATATTGCTATAATAAAACCTTATGCCTTCTTTGAAGATGAAGATGAATATTTTCTTAAAAGATAAAAGCAGAAATGAGACAATTCCTTCTTTATTAGCAAGCAGCTACACTATGCCAAGCTCCATTTGTTCATCAAATCAGTGAGCAAAATGATGAATCCTGCCCTCATGGAGCTGATATTCTAGCAGGGGGAGACAGATAATACGCCTGATAGATTATACAGTACGTTAGAGGGTCTTAAGGGTCATGGCAACAAGAAGAGAACAGGGGATGGGTGTGCCATTTGGTGTTGGGACTGCTGGTTGCATGATTAAATAGAATGGCTTTATTTACTCTGAAATCAAATTGTTATTTCTTTTTATAAAAGTCCAGACTTAGAATTTAAAACCTAAAATTGAAAAATGGGCACACAACCCTGGGAAGGGTCTCCCCAGCCGGAAGTCCCAGACACTCAATACTTTCTGACCACACTAAGGGTTGGCACCCATGGAAAAACAGCTCTGTAGAAGAACCACACTGGGGTGCTCTGCGTCTGCCCAGAAGGGGGCCTCACTGTTCCACCAGAAGCCCAGCTCCAGGCTCCTGTTGCATTTCTTCAGTGGATTCATTTCCTTGATGCAAAGCATCTGCATTTGTTGGTTCTGCCATTTGAGTGATGTCTGACTTGTTTGTTTTGAATTACATTACAGGCTGGAATGTAATTGTGGTGAAAGTATTTTTATATTGCTGAGAGTAGCAGCTAATCACAGTTACATGCTTCAGAAGATTTATAATTGCTTGGTTTTGTACGTGTGTGTTTTTAACTGCATTTGAGAAATTTGATGGAGAAGAATATGCATGATTTTTAAATTTATAATAATGTTACATGTAACTTGTCTTCAATTTCACCTACTTTAAAAATTATCTTCTCATTAAACTTTAGTGCTTTGACTAGTTGATTCCTTTTTGCAGTTGGTCATGATTCATTTCTGGCTTCTTATGCTTTTCTGCAAGCAGACTTGATTGCACTTAATGTCTTCATATCATCGTTTTCTCAGGGATTATTTGTAGACAAAAAACCTGGAATCTTTCCTCTGGTACCAGTAAGTACCAGTAAGTCTGGCTATCAAGTAGGTTCTTGGTAAATATTTGTTAAATAACTTTATTGAATAATAATAACCTTTTGATTCTGTCTCCAGTGATGACCTTATAGAAAAGTCTTTCCTATGTTTTTGGTCTTAGGCATTGTTCCCTCTACTGCTTTTGGGGAAGTAATCATTTTAGATGGCACATTGCGGGTTGGAGCTCAGCACCTCCAGTGCTGATATAGGAACATTGTGAGGTCATGGACATTGAGACTATGGGATTCTGATGGCAGTTTCAAATTGGTGGAGAGTTTTGGATATATGATGATGTAATGCTGCCTCCTGAGTTCCACATCTCCAGCTACTTAGACATGGCTTAAAATATTGGGATGGTCCAGTTCAAAAGATTGAATCCAATTGATTGACATTAGTGCCTGTCTAAAAGACTAGCTGAGAGACTTGTTCTGTGCATGGGATGATTCTGGAAGTTGTAGGATATGAGAAGGTTTTAGAACCAAGGCCCTGTTTGGAGGAATTAGTAGGAAATGATTGCATCTAAGTTGCTAGAGTAGCCAGTGTTTGCTGGTCTTTGCAATGGACTCGGCGGAGAACGGATGGTGTGTAATGCTTTGGCAAGCTTCAATCACTGATAAAAAATTATGTTAAAATATCTTTCCACTTTCTTGTTACTTGGCACAAGCATCTCTTCCTGTGTTGCATTTGGAATATTATGGAGGGAAAACAGATAGCCAAGAATGCCAACTTAGGCGTAGGCAAGAACTGTTAATTTTTCTTTAAGTTTTCTATTTGCAAATAATCTCAAACTTACCAACTAATAATTTAACAATTTATACCTTTAGCTTTATCATTGGCTGTATTTATTCTCGCTCTTTCCCAATCTATTTATCTATCTATCTAGATGTATGTATGAATGTATATAATTGTTCTTCTGACCCATTTGGTAGAAAGTTACATCACACATCATGACCCTTTGCCCTGAAATGTTTCTGTATTTCCTAAGCATAGGATATTCTCTTATGTAATCATAGTATAGTTATTGGCTTCAGCATATTTAACATTAATACAATACTTTTTTTTTTTTTTTTAATTTACATCCAAGTTAGTTAGCATATAGTGCAATAATGCTTTCAGGAGTAGATTCCAGTGATTCATCCCTTATGTCTAACACTCAGTGCTCATCCCAACCAGTGTCTTCCTTAATGTCCCTAACCATTTAGCCCAGCCCCCCACCCACAACCCCTCCAGTAACCCTCAGTTTGTTCTCTATACTTAAAAGTCTCTTATGTTTTGTCCCCCTCCCTGTTTTTATGTTATTTTTGCTTCTCTTCCCTTATGTTCATCTGTTTTGTATCTTAAATTCCACATATGAGTGAAGTTATACGATACTTGTCTTTCTCTAATTTCGCTTAGCATAATGCCTTCTAGTTCCATCCATGTTGTTGCAAATGGCAAGATTTCATTCTTTCTGATTGCTGAGTAATACTCCATTGTATGTATGTGTGTATGTGTATATACCACATCTTATTTATCCATTCATCTGTTGATAGACATTTGGGCCCTTTCCATACTTTGACTATTGTTGATAGCACTGCTATAAACATTGGGGTGTATGTGCCTCTTCAGAACAGCATACCTGTATCCCTTGGATAAGTACCTAGTAGTGCAATTGCTGGGTCATAGGATAGTTCTATTTTTTAACATTAATATAATACTTTTATCTAATATACTGTTTGTATTCTAATATTGTCAGTTGACCCCATAGTGTCCTTTAGAGAATTTTCCCCATCTCTCCTGCCATATTGGAAGATTCTAGGGTCAGATATCTTATTTAATTGCCATGTATCTTCAGCTTATTTGAATCTAGAACACTTCCATGGCTTCTCTTGGCCTTTTATGACACTGACATTTTAAAAATCATTCTGCCCTGCCCCTATCAACTTTTCTTTTAAAAAAAAATTTTTTTTAAATGTTTATTTATTTACTTTTGAGAGACAGAGAGGGAGCACAAGCTGGGGAGGGACAGAGAGAGAAGGATATACAGAATCCTTAGCAGGCTCCAAGCTCCAAGCTCCAGCACAGAACCTGATGTGGGGCTCGAATCCACAGACTGTGAGATCATGACCTGAGCTGAAATCGGACGCTTAACCGACTGACCCACCCAGGCGCCCTTTCTCTTTTTTTAATAATGGTGTTTTCTCATGATTGGATTCAGGTTATGTGTTTTAGGTGATTTTATATTCTCAGAATATCACATCTGAAGACACCCAAAGGCCATGAAGTCCTCACTGGTGATGTTAATTTTGGTCACCTGGATAGTTTTGATTACCTGATTTCTACACTATATAATAATTTTTTTTCCTCCCTTGCAATGAATAATAAGTCCAAGGAGAGAAACTTAAATTTTTTTTTTTATGTTTATTTTTGAGAGAGAGAGAGAGAGACAGAGCGTGAGTGGGTGAGGGGCAGAGAAAGGGAGATACAGAATCCAAAGTAGGCTCCAAGCTCTGAGCTTCCAGCACAGAGCCTGACGTGGAGCTCGAACCCATGAACTGTGAGATCATGACCTGAGAGAAGTTGGGCACTTAACCGACTGAGCCACCCAGGTGCCCTGAGAAACTTAAATTTGTAAAAGAAAATGCATTTGACATTAGTGGAAAGAAGGAGATGAAGTCAGTGATCTCAATTGCAAAGCAACTGTTAGGTTATTTGATTGCAATCTTTCTTTTTTATTATGTCTGCTGAAATTCACAAAATTCTTTTTGTAATAAGAATGTTTTATTATTTTTTAAAGCTT